GGCTCTGGGGAGACCTTATTGCAGCCTTTCAGTACTTAAAGGGGGCTTATAAGAAAGATGGGGACAAACTCTTTAGCAGGGCCTGTTGTGGCAGGACAAATGGTAAAGGTTTTAAACTAAAAGAGGGTAGATTCTGACTAGAAAGAAGGAAGAAATTTTTTACGCTGAGGGTGGTGAGGCACTGGAACAGGTTGCCCCAAGAGGTGGTAGATGCCCCATCCCTGGAAACATTTAAAGTCAGGTTGGACGGGGCTCTGAGCAGCCTGATCTAGTTGAAGATGTCCCTGCTTATTGCAGGGGGGTTGGACTAGATGACCTTTGGAGGTCCCTTCCAACCCAAACTATTCTATGATGCTACGATTCTATGAAATGTCATATTCTGTTATTTCAGCAGAATGCTGCCAAGAGTGGAGGGATTTGAATTTTTTAGGAGTTTATAGTTCTATTTCTTTTTATTTTAAATTTAGAACTTCTAAGTGACATCCTTATTTATGGGGCCAGAGCTCGAAATCGTGCAATCCATGGTGATGTGGTAGCTGTTGAGTTACTACCTTTGCATGAATGGAAAGGAAGGACTGTTGCCCTTTGTGAAAATGAGACTGAGGATAAAGCACCTGCAGACACCACTGGTGACCCTATGCCCACAGGTAAAGTAGATAGCATGATACAATGTTTTGTTAAGATCACTGCACTTCCTTGGTCCAAGCTGTGTTGCAATCTTCATTATATAGTCCCTTCCCTCGATTTCTGTGATTGTCACATTTTTTGCACTGTAGTAAATTTGAAGTGATTATCCCAAATTAAAGCATTCTAACATATCCCAACAAGAAGGCCACTAGATTCGTTCTATATGCGAAACCCCCTTTTTTTTTCTTTAATGTCTTTCTCAGAAATAGCTGAATTACTGTAGTTATCTTCCTAAAATACTGAGTTTGGAATACTTTGCTACCCAAACGCATGCTGTCACTCTTCACAGCTCTACAAGAGACGAACTGCCATTCTAATACAGACCAATTTACCAGAGTGTGCACTCAAGTCCTCCACTATCACTGTTGATTATACAGAACGATAACAGCATCCTTTTAATTCCTTGATGCAAATAATGTTCAAGATGAAAAAAAATTGTGTTAGGTGAAGAAGTATCCAGCTCCCATTATAATGTCACATGTCTGTGTACCATGGGAACTTATTTGAAAATATTACTCTGCAGGTATAGCTAAATTTTAAAAGTTTGCTGAGGTCAGAGTTAAAAGTTTTAGGATGTTAATTCTCTTCCTGCAAGAAAATGCTGTTTAATTTTCATCTTTACTATTAAAGATTTTCTGTATTTTTTACTGGAATTGGCCAAATTTCAGTAGTAGTGGGAATCTCTCTGAATAATTTATGTAGTGTATCAATTGAAATCTATACAATGAGTTAGTCTCCACATAAATAAAAGCTCATTAAAATCTGGCTGTGCCAACAATAATTTATAACAAACTTTTATTGTTGTCTGCATACCATATGTTGTTAGCAATTGTAATACAGATCTGTGGGCACATTAGTTCATATTACAAAGCAATGAATCTTCTGTACCTCCCACATATTTGCTTTCACGTTCCTGTTTAACTCTTTAATGTACAGCCAACAATGTTCCTTATTAAAAGGTAAAGTTGTTGGAATCATTCAAAAGAACTGGAGGGATTATGTGGTCACTTTCCCCACTAAAGAAGACAGCCAGTCCCAGGGCAGAAATGCTCAGAAAATCCTTGTTACACCTTGGGACTACCGAATTCCCAAAATCCGGATCAGTACCCAGCAAGCTGAAGCATTACAGGTAATTTGACAGAAGTGTTTCTCTATTCTGTGTTCCTACAAAATTGTGCGGGTGTTATATGCTTTAATGATGTTTTCTTGGCAAAACCATGGGTAAAACTATTAAAGTTAAGTCTGTGAGAGTAGTTCAATTTCTGCCTTGAAGGAATATGTTCAGTTCCTGTCAAAACTGTGTCAGCTTCAGGTAATAAAACTTATTTGAGTTCTGAATTTGGGCCACAGTCCAGGTACCCTGAGCATGTATATACTACTTGCTTTGTTTTTTTTCTGATAAATTAAAGGTCTCATTAGGGGCATAAATTGTAATAGCCCTTGTGGCTTCATTGGATCTATGACTATATATAACTTTGAGAGTAGTAAGGAGAGCTTTTCAACAAATTAATGATGAATTACGATGATTAGCCTGTCATTGCGGCAGAAAGAAGAAACATGGTTTTGTTCATTCCTGCTGCTTTTCCCTTGTAATGTTAAGTACTTCTTCACAGCCAAGAAGTAAATTCCAACTATGTCTTTTCTGGTATAAGAATATTTGCATACATCTTGGTTTTGTTTTTATTTTTTATGCTTTAAGATAGAGATTCTCCATATAATGACCCCAAGTGGATCTTTGCTCAGGAAAGAAATGTAATTCTCAGTATTTGTTTGTATGCTTCTCATTGTGGATTTCTTTTTCCTTTCTATAAACTTTTTAGAGTTGCCTGTCTCTTTGGATAGCATTATTTGCCCCTGAGGGAGTATTTATATTGATTGCTTGTCAGGAGCAGATTGCTGTTCTAACAGAATTGTCTTGCTGCAGGAGTATAGAGTTGTCGTGCGTATTGATTCTTGGGAATCAACTTCTGTATATCCAAATGGACACTTCGTGAGAGTTCTAGGAAGAATTGGAGATCTTGAGGGGGAAATTGCAGCTATTCTGGTGGAGAACAGCATCTGTGTTGCCCCTTTCTCAGAAATCCAGGTTAGTCTTTGTGATTAGATACATTATTTTCTGTTGATTTTCAGAGTCTTGTTTCTCAATGAGAAACAACCCTCTTACAGCTGAATGTCTTAGTTGCCATAGGTTTTTGAAAGCTGAAAACTAGTTATAGGTTATTTTTCTGGAATTACTTTTGGATCAGTGGTTCTATAGATACTATAAAGTTTCAAGTCAAGAGTGATTTTAAGACAATATGTTTGCTATGAGGAGAAGATGACAATCTCTTAATTCTAATTTGAGGTAGGCTTTTAAGATATTACTGTCTTTAATATGTGTTTATGGTACTGATCCTAAAGGCCTGGACCTACTGAAATCATTGTTTTAAATCCTTTTGTCTTCAACCAGGAGAGCAACCAGCTCTCATAGATAACTATTTTGATTATACCTACAATTAATTGAAAGAAAAAGAATGTAAAAAACCAATATACAGTGGTGATGTTTGCCAGAGCTGCAGTATCACCACAATAATATCAGTTGTTAATAATATGTGTAGCATTCTTTTCAATTCTGTTTCATACTTTCTGTGAAATAAATATAATAAACTGACTTGGAAAATGCAAGGAAAGAAGAATTTGTCTAGGATGAAGAAGTACACAAAACAATTAACAGAGTAGAAAAGGAAAAGCTAATTAAATCTAATTTGTTGGCTTCTTTTTGTAGAAAAGATATAATTATATGTGCATCCATATTGTTTTTGTACAGATGAGTGAAATGCCCATGAGTTCTTCAAAAAATCCATGGAAAGTGAACCCAGAGGAGGAAAAAAACCGTCTCGACTTGAGAGATACACACTTGATATTCAGCATTGACCCAAAAGGCTGCGAGGATGTGGATGACGCACTCTCTGTTAGAACCCTGCCAAATGGGAACCTAGAGTTAGGTGTCCACATTGCAGATGTAACCCATTTTGTGGCAGCAAATTCTTACACTGATGTTGAGGCCAGAGCAAGGTAAGTTATCTCCTAAAAATTAGAAAATTTATGGAGCTTAGAAGTTTGTGATGCTACCCTAAGGCAACATTGAGAAACACTGGAAGGAAGGAGACATTCTTTCTTCTTCTTTTGTGTCATGGAAACAGCTTATTAAAACTAATATATAACTAATGGTATTCTGCTTTTATTTGGATAAAATAGGCCTGCTGGGGAAGAAACTGCTTTCTGACCTACTGCTTCAGCCTTTTACTATGAAATTGCTCTTTTCCACAAAGTTATGATTTAAGTTTATCTTTCCCTAATCACTAGTGTTTGCTTTATAGTCTGCTTTAACATTTGTGATTTGAAGTATTTACAAACCACTTGTTTGCATTCCAAGGGGGATGAATCTTCACACAGAACATGGAACACCCACAAAATGGAATTAAGTCTTACATGAATTTAATTCCAGAGGTATTTGGCAGGCTTGTTTTAATATTCAATCTTGTGTTTCAATATGCCAAATATTCCATTCTTTTTTTTCTTTTATTGCCACTGTTTTGAACTTAAACTGCTGAACCACTTTATGAAATGTATTATTTGTAGATGCAAAGAAATGTAAACTGTATAGCCAGCGGAGATGTTTGGTATAGCCATTAAATGACCTCTTCTTAGTTGAGCATGTTTTGTACAGCCCTAGCTCTGGCCTTAATGGCAGTTGGACACCGAGGAAGGCAAAATTAGGCTTGTACTATACAAATAGTTATTTAAATAATTTGACTTTGGTATTGCACATGTGTGTGTTCTCTAAGCATAACCTTTTAAAATCATGCTGTGTCTTGTTTTTGCTGAAGCTATGCTTATACTGCAAACTGCTTGGGAGATACACACCAATGAGTCCTTGTGAGAAGAATAGTAAATGTATTTTATTCCTCAGGGCAACAACTTACTATTTAGCGGATCGTCGTTATGACATGCTGCCCTCCGTCTTGAGTGCTGACATATGCTCTCTTCTTAGTGGAGTTGATAGGTAAGATTTTGTGTAGTAACTGCTTATGCACTTGCTTTTTGAATTATTTGTTACTATTTGTAAGCGAAGTAGTAGGAAGTCAAAAAAAGCTGAAATACGGTATTATACAATTACTCTCTCGTCCTCCAATAATGTTTACCCATACCCTTAGCAATTTGCTTTGTATTTAAACAGCAGCCTAAAGGTGAAGGCATCTTTGTTCTTCACTTGTTTTTTCACATGGGTTTCAGTCTGGAGTGCATGCACCCATGTGAACGGTCACGCTTTTTACTATTGTCCTATTCCTCAAACATGCCATTACCCCATTTTATTACAATTTACAGGGTTAGTTGGCTGGCAGGCATGAGGATATGCAGGGTGTAGATATGTTCATTGTGGATGCATCTGGCTAATAAAATAAAAATGAATAAAAATAACTATTGCAGTGTAGCTGTGCTTTAAAATAGATGTGGCCTTGTATCTTGGGGGTACTCTGCCTCAACAGGTGCTGACATAGTTGGTCCTCATTTATTATGTTGTGGTACATGAGACTGAAAGGCAAATGCATTAATCAGTGGCATTGCTGAGCACTGGTTTGTTTCATGAAGAAAAAGATGTTTCCAGTGAAAAAAATCAGAATGAAATGTGTAAATTTGTAACAGTTGGATGTGCTTGGTTTAAGTCAACCAGAACTATTTATAGAATTGTGATCTTATCTTTAAGGTATGCTGTAAGTGTCTTGTGGGAACTAGAAAAAGAATCATACGAAATGCTGCGAGTCTGCTACAACAAAACCATCATTCGATCTGCGTACAAGCTAGTTTACGAAGCAGCACAGGGATTATTAGATGGAGACACAAGTGTTGTTGGTGATATCCTGGAACTGAAAAACTTGGATGAAAGAACTAGACAGAAGAAGCTGGATGAACTGGTGTGGGCAGTATCAAAACTCACAGATATAGCACGACATGTTAGAGCTAAGCGGGACAGCTGTGGTGCTCTGGAACTAGAAGGCGTAGAAATCCGAGTGCAACTGGATGATAAAAATAATATCCATGATCTCATCCCCAAGCAGCCGCTGGAGGTGCATGAGACTGTAGCAGAATGTATGATTCTTGCCAACCACTGGGTGGCAAAAAAGATTTCAGAAAATTTTCCTCATCAAGCTTTGTTGCGTCAGCACCCTCCACCACGACAGGAATTTTTTACTGAACTTCGAGAATGTGCCAGTGCCAAAGGTTTCTCAATAGACACACGGTATCTTTTACTACTTAAGCGCTTTAATTAAAGTTAAGCAATTTACTGTTTGGCTATGTTATTGTCACGAAGCATTACAGTTCTCAGTATCAATGTTAATAGACACTGTATAGCAATTCTTAAAGAAAAATTCACCATAACCTTTCTGTAAGCAGGCGATGATGTTCTAAACAAGAGAGGCTGCCTGCATTCTGCTGGCTGGACTGAAAATGGCAGTATCGGAATAATTTTAGACACATCCAAAAAGAACTTGTTTAGTCGGTATATAGTGGTTAAGCTCTGTAATAGCCTTGTTTGCACCATATTTCCTGTAATAGTAGTGTAAGAGAGTACTTGTTTAAATCAAGCTAATTCTGTGCAAGGTAGTCAGTTTAAATGACTCATAATAATTCAGAATTACTTTGTCAAGATACTACGAGAAAGCTGTGAGCTTCATCACATTGGGAGGCATCATTCCTGGACATCATAAGTGTGAAGGGCATCAGTAGTGCCTCCTTTTATTTGGATGGCACCTTGTCCCGTTTGTGTTCTCCTGTACAGAACAGGTTTTGGACCAGCTCACTGTCTTTTCTGTACTGCACAGAAGTGGCTTTTGCTCCAGTCCTTCTTGGTTCTCCAGGTTGCAGAAGACAGGCCTGTTGGTGAAAACTGGGGAGTTTTCTAAACAGTTTTCTAGAGCAGAGCTGTTATTAAACTGTGGTGAAAGTTTTAATATCATTCTGCTTGTCATTCATATTTTTATATTAATAATGATTAATAAATTTTTATGTGCTTCTGTATGCTTTTTTTAACTATAGGCTATTATGATCAGGCACAGCGTAATTTTCTTCAGAATTAACACTTTTTTGACAGGTCTAACAAAGCATTGGCCGAGTCCCTGGATAAAGCAAATGACCCACTGGATCCAATTGTAAATAAACTGTTGCGATCTATGGCCACTCACGCAATGTCTAATGCATTGTACTTCTCAACTGGCTCTTGTCCCGAGGAAGACTTTCATCATTATGGTATCTCGTCACTTTATTTTTTATGCTATTCCAGTTGTTATTTCTGAACTGTTGGGGGGGAGGCAGTTGATTGCTTATCACCGCTTCCTTTTTTATTTGTAGGACTTGCCTTAGATAAATACACTCATTTCACTTCTCCAATTAGAAGATACGCTGATATTGTTGTCCACAGACTCTTGATGGCAGCGACTCTGAAGGAAACTAAAGGAGATGTTAAGGATTATGTATTCAGTAATAAGGATCTTCAGGAATTGTGCAGACACATTAATAACAGAAACCGGGTAAGATGGTCATTGTACGTGTCTCCGTACGTTTGTATGCTGCCCAACGGAATGGGATACCAGTCCTGACTGCAGCTTTTGGGTACTACAATAACATAGTATCACTTCACTTTTATTTATAATGCTTTTGGGTTTTTTTACTTAAGTATCAGTTTTATTCTGAGAGTGGTAGTAAAAGTGACTTCATACTTCACGTGTGCTACATGTAGGATTTCCTTTTAGATCTAATTATTCTAGGGGACAGGTAATAGGAAAAAGTATGAAAATCAAAGCCAAACAAGCTTGTTGAAATATGTATTTAGGTGGTTTTGTCTTCTCTTTTTGTGGGGGGTGCTGCAGGCAGCCCAGCATGCTCAGAAACAGTCTACTGAACTCTTCCAGTGCATGTACTTCAAAGACAAAACCCCAGAAACAGATGAGCGCTGCATAGCAGATGGTGTTATTTACTCAATTCGAACAAATGGTGTACTTGTTTTTGTACCAAGGTGAGTTGATTAGAGCTTGGACTGAGCTTACAATTAAGACATAAATGTTACTAGAATGCCGTGAGGATGCCTCTCGTCCTTGAGAAAGGAAGCGTTTATAGCGTGGCCTGGTGTTGACCAATGACTGCATTTTAGATTTTTGTTGTAAATCCTAAGCGGTGCTTTTCTATGCATTGACTCTGAAACGGAGTACCTGTGAGGACATGGTAAGACGATGCTGCACAGTATGTATTTATTTCAAAACATTAAAAGCAGCTGCTAGGGCAGAACAATGACTGGAATATTTTTTGCCCCTTTTTTTTTTTTTTTTTAACCATAGAAAGTGATTAGTTACTTAAAGAAAGGGCAGTTTTAAATTTCCAAATCACAAAGCCATGCATTCCTCAGCTCTTTCCCTTCACTACAGACTGTAGGTTATGCAGGCTAGGAGCACCTTTTGCACAGCGACTCCTCGTAGGCAGCAGGGAAGCACAGAAGAAATGTTTACATGGTGCTATTTATGGCAGTTAGGCTCTTCTAAGTGCCTGTATCTCAGCTCAGCCTTTGATTTAGCCAAGTAGAAGGTGACTCTTTACATGAAGCTAACATTACATTTTAATTTCTGAGCTTTCAAATCTGTATTTTAAAGTGTACTAAATGTGTTCTGCTTATGTTATAAATTGACTAGTGAATGATCTAAGAAGTAACTAGTCACCCTAGAACTGGAGAGCAGTGCCTCTCGTAAGACTTGGCCAGCTCTTCAACCTTTCCTTTCCCTTTCTGGCTCTGGACATCTTGGATTAGTTAATGATCTTCATGTTTGTGCATTACTGGTAGCAACACTGTCCACCTGGCTAGCCAACAGGTATAAGAAGTGTAGGCATAAGAACTCTCCTTTAAAAAAAGAAGAAACAAAACCCAAAAAACATTCTATAGGGATGTTAGGTAAAGTAAACCATTACATGAATACCCTGGACTTCCATGAATACAGCCAGGGGCTGTTTGATCCTGGCCACAGACTGAGCTTCGATATAAGCCAGCTCGATGTAGGTCTGTCGTCTCTGGCATTCTGGATGGCTTGGCTGGCATGCATGGATGAAGAGCCAGAACCTACCCAACCAAGAAAGGTTCCTTCCAGAGAACCCAGTGCAAATACGCCACTGGTCTTTAAGTAACTTTTTTTTTAATGGAGAACTGTTTCCTCACCGTGCTGTCTGGAATAACCTGTAATGCTGCTCTTCTTCTGTTATCGGGCCATTCCAGGCTCCACCCAACACCTAAGATAAAGGATCACTGACTGCATTTTACTTTTGCTTTGCTGCTTTTGAAACACTTCAGTCGCTGTCTTCATGCTGTTTTCGTATACTCTAGGGATTTCTTCTTTGACAATGCATGTCAGCGTCCCTGAAGCAGGATTATCAGGCTACAGTGTTTGCCCCTTTATGTTGCTTTTATATAATCCTAGCTAGCTGCCTGTTGGTTTCAAAGTTAAGAGAACTGATAAGGGTGAAAATTGTTAGAACAGCTTCTGTCTGCTCATCTGCTTTTTTGTAGATACGGAATCAAAGGTGCTGCATATATGAAAACCAAAGAAGGCTTAGTCATCTCTTGCCGAGGTGATAGGAGCTGTGAGTGGAAGCCTGGATCACTTCATCGCTTTCAAAATAAAATTACTTCCACTACAACTACTGGAGAATCAGTTACATTAAGCCTTTTCGATCACATTACCGTGAGTATTTAATCTGAAGGAAGTAAAGGAAATAACACCATCAGAAATAAAATAATTTTTATATTGCTTTTAAGGTGAAAATACTTGTGCAGACTTCCCGCTGCCATGCTGACACAATCAAGCTTGAAATAATCAGGAATGCACCATATCAGACTTCAGACACAGAGGTGTCCCAAAAGAATTTTCACGTGGTGAAATCTGACTTAGTAAAAGAAGTCAGTCAGTCTGCAGAAGAAGCCCAGCGTGCCCAACAAAAAGCAAGAGTTGAAGTAATTGATGAAGACTATCAGGAGTACTGCCAGACCAAGGGAGCAAGCTTATACCAGCTGCTGGAGGAGATTAGGGATTTGGCACTATTGGATGTTTCAGCTGACATTAGAACTTGAACTATAACCTAGCAACATCTGCTTGTTGATGTTCTGCTCCTATTCACTTTATATGATTAATTTTTTAAAAAAACAAGTCTTTTTAATAAGAAACAAAATGTCTATTTTAAATAAGAATTATTTTTATCTGATGATGAACATGTATGAGTTTTTAAGAGATTTTATACATGATAAATCTCATCTTCCAAACTGAAGAGTGTGGTGAATTCTTTTAACTGTCATTCAAAAAGTTACTTTCCCATGTGCATAAATTGAGTTCTTAAAACAGGTGTTGGCTATCTTCCACTATAGTTCAGCAAGTTTAACTCATAGCTACAAGGATATGAAAAGCAAACTCCTTCACACTAATCTAGAATACAGAATCTTTGTTTATTGAAATCCCTCAGCTGCACATCTGGCATAAAATAACACCTGTTGACATGAACTATTTCATCTGCTGTAAGTGCTGCTCTTGTCTTAATTCAGTTTCTAGAAATTCAGTTTCTGTTACGAACAACAGTCTACGCTGTGCTGCTGGAGAGGGCAGGCTCGGGGCTTTACCATTATGGTGATTCTTGTTCATTCAACAGAAGGGAAAACCTGTTGCACAAGTAGGAAAAACAAGACTGTTAAGAGGATGAAACAGAGCTTCCAGACAGCAAACAGAATCAGCCGAAGGAAGATAACTAATTTGGTCAAAGCTAAAGCATGTTCCCTGAGGGGATGTACGTCTGTGAAGAGATGTTTGACTAGCACAAGGGATGTGGAAGTTTGGAGGGGCTGTAGCTGTAACAGCCTCATACAAGAATTTCAGGTTTGACTTCTGAAATTTAATAGCTTCCATTTTATAAGAACAAGATACAGGTACTTGATAAGCAAGTTAAAAAAATCCAGGACACCTGTTCAGACATAGCACTATCCACTATTATATATATACCCTCTATTAAAAAAAAAGACCCAACAACAACTTTAATAGAAACTTGACCTGTCAATATCCCAGTTAATTCAGTTTGGCATCAACTGTAAACAAAATTCAAACTAGGTCAAAAAACTCATTAACTTCTCCTAAAGAATGTCAGGAGGGGGTGGGGGGAAAGATGTCTCAAATGCAGATGAAGAACTTGGTTTTGTTTTCCAGTGTACGGAGTTGCTCATCTGCAGTTCCCAGAGAAGAGTTCTGTCCAACTGTACAGAAGTCACGGTGAAGACTTCCATGAAGCTTCTGGAGTCAGACTGCAAAGAGCCTGCAACATTTCAATACAGTGATAGTACTTAAAACATCGGGGTCTTTCTGTTAAGAAAGTCATTCCAAGTATGGGGAATGGTTACTGCTTTTCGCTGGCACATTCCAATTCTATATCTCTATCTTCAGCTTCTGTAACAGCAACCTTGGTTATGGCAGCTTGAGTGTCTTCGATAAGATCAGCGGGATCCTGAGCAACTGGGGTATTAAACTCCCCTTCTGAGTGACTAGCAGAGACTCTGTCAAAGTTAAGAAAGTCATTCCAAGTATGGGGAATGGTTACTGCTTTTCGCTGGCACATTCCAATTCTATATCTCTATCTTCAGCTTCTGTAACAGCAACCTTGGTTATGGCAGCTTGAGTGTCTTCGATAAGATCAGCGGGATCCTGAGCAACTGGGGTATTAAACTCCCCTTCTGAGTGACTAGCAGAGAGCTCTGTCAAAGAAAAAAAAAAAGTTTCCTACTATGAGAAAACACTGTTGCTGTGTGTTTAACTTGCAGTTTCTATCACCAGAATCGCTGTCTGCAGGAAAGCCAACTCCAGAGATAACCAGCAAGTTGAGTTTCATTTCAAAGCTATCACAACTTGGCATGACAACTAGGGAGAGTAGTTCTGTCTTAGCTTTGGAGGAGTCTAACTACAGGAACACAGTTCAAATTGGAGAGTTACACATTTTGCTACTTCCGAGAAAAGCAATCGCTACCCTTTCCTTTAAACTGACTCAGTTGTATAAGCTTCTCAGGCTACTGACCTTAACATTAACACTTAATTTACAGGGTTGATTACCGTTGTGTTGCGATTGGCTGTTACACTGCATCTTTGCTTGCCTACGTTCCAAGGCCAGCTGCCTGTTCTTCTTGATTCGCTGTTGTTGCTCTTCTGTGAGAGTTGTACCAGACCGAGAATTGAGTTCTCCTACATTTCCAGAGCAGGAAAGTACATCTTCAGTGGCTGTATCCACACCATTACTTTCCCCTCCACCATCTGGTTAAAAATGAGGGGGTGGGAGGGGGAAAAGGCAGAAATCAGCACTTTGAACCCAGAGAGCGCTACTGCTAAATATCTGTCAGGAGAGCATCTTAAAAGCATTTCTGTGTTCTACGTTTTGCAGTTGTACTGACAGCTGAAGATCATTCTGTAATTTAGTTTTAATGGGCAATTTTCTGCCTAGGTCCACATACCTGATACTGAAAGTATACAACAAATGCTTATCAGAGATCCCAAACACACAACAATAATAAATACCTGAATTTAGAGACATAGCTCTGTGTACTAAGTTAGCAATCATGAGCTGTGCCTGAAGGTTAAAGAGAGACAGTAAATTCAGGCAATCCTTACTGAAAGGCCAAATAATTTTCTTCCCACCCCTACTAATACGACACTATCCTTTGGAAAGTGGCAGGACTAGTTATGGGAATCAGACAGAGGTTCGAACACAGACATTGAATGGTCAGCTTTGAATTCAGTGTGCTACTATTATGGAATATTTACTCATTTGCCAACGTTAATACATGCAAAATGGAGGCAGTCCAACTCCGTTAGACAAACTTCACCCACCAACATAGAAGCAGAGCACTCCTTCAAGAGTGCCTAAGGCCAAGTATGCTTGTGCCTCTGCACCACTTTAAGCCTGTGAATAGAGAAGTTAGCTGACAACAAGGTTTTGGGTTTTAATACAATACTCTAGCTACAGTTTTTATTTCAAAACTGTAAGATACCTACTCAAGTTTTTCAACTGAAGACTGAGCAGTTGCAGCAGTACACTCGCTAACACAGTTCAAGAACAGATTAGCACCGCATTTAAATACAAATGTATGGAACCATCGCACAGAAAAATCTGATAACTCTACAGACACTGTCGGCAGGAACCATTTGCTTTACTATTTGTGGCTGCTTATGGTTACATTCCATTTCTAGCAAATGCAGCCAACAGTGAAGACAGCCACATGTCACTAACTGCCCAGAGGTCGTCCCCACCGGTGAGGCAAGGTTTTACCACTGGTTAACTCATCCACCAGAACACCTTTCCCAAGCACGGGCTTGTCTGGAGGCTGAGGTTCACATGAAGACAAACTGGACAATGGGTAGGTAATTGTTTCAAGAGAGACTCACAGTGAAAGTATGAACACCTGCAAAGGATCTTAGGAATAACTATGAAATGCCCTCATTTCTGCTAATAAAGTTTCTTTCAAACTACCAGGTGAACTCTACTCCCTCCTTTTATTAAAAAAAATAATTATTTCTAGTGTATCTAAAAACATCATCTGATTGGAAGAGACTCTTGAATTACCTACTTGTTAAAGTGGCTGGATTTTGATATTGGAAGAAGAAATACTCAATAGTAGCTATATGCCAAGACTGACAGACGTAACGGTGCCCACAAGCATTACTTACTTTCCCTACAAAGGACACTACACCCTGACTGCACTGTAACAGCTTGTAGTATAAACAGTATAATAAATCTTTGACTTCTGCATTAGTAAGATCCAAGAGCTCTTCAGACTGCATGCTCATAAGAGTACAATACAAACCAGTATGTTCACTTTTCTAACAATGCTGGTAATAATACCCATTTTCCATTTCCTTTCAGTATACTATGCACTTTTATTTATTTTTTAGAGAGAGAGAGAGCATTTTAGTCCGAGTACCAGTTCAGTGTTGTAATCGTAAGTCTCAACAGAAGCTTGGTTTTAAAACAGAGGACCTCAACAATTTCTTCTACATTACAAAAGTGTATCATGATCATTAATTTCTGGTCAGTAGGAGGGGAAGTAAAGTAATTTTAAGCATTGAACTACTGAACAAACAGCATAATGAGCATACCTTCATTACTTGCAAAGTCTTCATGTAAAATAGGAAGATCAAGTCTAATCCGCTTTAGGCAGGTCTGCAAACGAGAGATTAAAATACAGATATTTCATCTGTAACAAATTCTTTTGAGTCTAATCCGCTTTAGGCAGGTCTGCAAACCAAAGATTAAAATACTGATATTTCATCTGTAACAAATTCTTTTGCGCAACATCGCTACGTTTTTAATACTACTCCCAATTTCTCTTTACACTTTATTACTCTGAAAAAGAAAATATTCCTTTCACTACATGTCTGTTTGACCCACAACTTTTAATGTCGTGGATCGTTTTCCTAGTCCTTCGTCTATCACCTAGACAGATGAAGCAGCATTCTTCGTAAGTCTTCTTTTGCAGGTTCAAACGTTAAAAAACAAACAAACAAAACCCCAAAAACCAACCAGTTCCAGCACTCTTAACCAAATTACTTTGGTTAAAGATGTCCTGAAAAAGTTGAAGCCAATTCTCTGAAGTACTAATTCAAATAAAGAAAGGTTATATCTAAATGTAAACTTGAATTATATCTAAATGGAAACTTGAATACTTCAAATACTGGAAAGAGTTTTTTTTAAAAAGAGAGAAATTAATTTAAATAACATTATACTCCTTCGCAGTATGCACAACTTAAGTCGTCTTTTGTTACAAAATTACTCTTCTAAACCTACCTCTTACACTGTTCAGTGCTGCATGAAAAGAAACTGACAAGAACAATACGTACCTGAACTTCCTTTTTGTTTCCCAAAGACTCAACTCTGTCAATAAAATCCTCAAATTGCAATTTTGGAAATAGTCTATGAGCCCAGTGTTCCATATGTCGTATGAGTGTCTTCAGGTCTTCTGCCTAGAGCATAAAACAAGATAATGCAGCTAGAAGTTGACTAAGTCAACAGACTGCAGAGGGAAACATCACAGTAACATTTCTGAAAATATTAAGCATCTGCAGCTTGAAAGTCGCTTGAAAATTTAAGTAATATGAATGCGTGGGTAGCCTTTCCTCCCATGATCAAGTCTGTAAGTGCAATTTCAAGCTATCAGAAGAATAGCGATTCTAGTTCAGGAAAAGCATTTGCATATACTGTAAAACATCTGACAGGCTTCTGAGAAGTTGCCCTTAAGCAACCTAGGTCTGAACCCAGACTGAAAAAAAAAAATCCGTAGGGGCACAGCTGGCATTTATTTTGATGTTTAGAACACACAGAAAAATGTCCAGCTAAATAACCTTATCTAATAAAGATTTTAGCCCAGATCAGCAGTATTGCCTAGTTCTTCAGTTACAACTGCCTCCAGTTGTAACGAGAAAATTTATACCATGAGTGTTCTCTGTAACCCAGAGATGCACAGGCATCTGTGCAAGCATGCCAATAGTCTAATGATATTTAAAGAAAAATGAGCTTTCTATGTTTAAGTGTATCCAAGACAATGAGACAGTTTGTAGAGAAAATACTGCTTTCTCTTTGCTTAAGTGGTATGTCACACTTTTTTCAATATTAAAAACTTGGGGACAGAGGCGTCACAAAAGCCAGAAGATTTTCACTAACAAAGGAAACTGATCATGAAGTGAGATGGTAAAGATGTAGTAGGCACTTATAAGCCTGTTCCAATATAAAAAACCCCTTTCTATGGACAATATAAAGAGTCACAGACATGATATTCTAGTTTTGAAGTAGAGGAAAACAGTTTTAAGATCAAACATGGATTTTGTTGAAACATTTGGGTTTTTGTTTTTTTTGTTTGTTTGTTTGTTTTTTTAAATTCGCAACCTCAAACCCCATCAGGGTATGTTCAAATACTGTTAGAAAGCTGGCTAACCAGAGTGTAGTATCAGTTCTCCCCATATCAGATGGGCAGCAATCTATCAAGTCTAGATTAACCTCCCAGGAAACAAAACAAAAGCTCACTATGTCTTACCTCGTGCCCCTTACCCTGGAACTTCACGTTGTCAAACATGTGTCTCAGGGCTGGAAGTCCTCTTTCTGAGATTAACCTGTGAATAGGAAATTGGTGAAGTTATTTGAAACCCAGACTTTCTTTTTCTAATTAAAAACAAACAAACAAACAAACAACAAAACAAAAAAACCACAAGCCACACAAACAACCTCACATTCCTTTAAATAGCCAAAAGCTACAGAGCTCTATTTGAAAAATGTACAGAATTAGAAGTCGTTAAGAAAAAGCACAAAATAGGATAGAGACTCTGTAAGACCAAAGACTTATTTGGAAAATTCACCATACATACATTCCTAGTCCAAGGAGCTTTTTTATTTTGATTACATGGAAAGTCAGTTCTTGTATCTATACTGGCCAAGTAAAAGCAGTTAGATGCATGACCAGAGCATCCACCTGTGGTATCACTAGCTTCATCAGTATATTTAAAATGAAGA